GGTTTCAGCTAACTGTCAGAATAAGGAGAAGCCTTAAGGCAAGAAAAGCAAGGCAATGACTTGACTGGGTTGATGGTATAAAACTCTGGTTGTGCTTAAAAAAAAAATTAAAAACTAGTGGAAGACGCGACTAGGAAAAGTTCTTACATAAAAGCCTCATGCATTAAAATCCAATTAAAAATTACTTAATGACCCACATAAATTTTAACTGTGGCTTTAATGAGACTTACAGTATAAGTTATAGAGTTGCTTCAGGGCTAAACTATTTTAGAAGAGATAATAATTAAATTTGGTGTAACTAAGTTGCCATAATTGGACATGATTAAAAATGCATTTGCTGAGCAAAAATAACAAACATCTGTCATTTAATTTTTTGGAGGGGGATTTAAGCAAGACTTTGGCAGCTCTACTTGTGAAGGAGTTCCAGTGTAGCTGGAGAGCCAGCGCTTGTAGCTGCCACAGATGTGCTGTACCAGACCCGCGCCTCCTCATGAATGTAACTACATGTTGAGGCTGTGTGACGGTGTTCTCTAGAGGAAAACTGTGGACAGTGAAAACAACATAAAGGAAGCTGAAGAAAGACTCAGTAATCTGCACCATCACATGTGTTAACTACACATTTAGTGCCATCTCTGACTTAATACCCTCTGTTCAACGCAGGTCATCACACTTGATCGCAGTGAATGAAACATCGTGGACACAGGTTGCGGAGAAATAGCCTCCTGTTCACGAGACGAGGTAAAAGTGCCTAAAATGGGTACGTGGCATTCTGCTGTAACAAAACTTTAGCTGCTTAGTTTACACATCTGGACAACACCATCTAAACTGTTCATATGCCGGTATTACTCCTAATACAACTCTATGCCACATGGTTTTAGCAAATAGTCAACTGGTTCAAAATGTTCCATAAAATATGAGCACTGGACTTGATCAAAGATCAGTACCTATGTATTACTGCCCTTCTTGCCTCTTGGGTCTTTTGTTATTCGTTCATTCACTGTTGCTCCTCATATGTTAACATTTGAAATAATGAAATGTGCTTAAAAGTGCGGTGACTAAGATGAACCAGAGGATAAAGAGAGCTAGAAAGGAGAAGTGAAGGACACTCAGGTCAAGGGAGTCACTTATGATGCGGTATCTAGGACATTCATACTCTAATTTGTCAGTCATCTGGGAGCCCTCTGTGCTTGTGTGAGTGTATCACATTCAGAGGACAGTCTATCACCTGGGGGCCTCATGGGACCCTCAGGAGCTCTTCTTCTATTCCCACTCCAATTACAGTCCTGCCAGCTCTCTTTCACTGTGACACATGCACACGCACACACAAACACACCTGTATTAATAAACACATTCCTCATTTGAGCTGTTGATGTGCATAATTGTGTACCACTAAAAATAGCATTTAACTACAAAGCATGGCAGATTAGTTTGCAGGTTTATGTGTCAGGGTGTGTGATTTCAGATGTGCTACCAATACACAAACGTACTAGAGGTAACACTCCTCTTCGTCACAACAGGCGCAGTGAACTTTACAAGGGGCAACTTCTTCACTTTAACCCATTCTTTGTTTCTTGTTTTGTACTTTTCAAAAACACGTAATTACTGTATTTATATACAGCAGCATCATTTGCTGACCTGCCGACACCAGATGCTTTCCACGCACCTTTACTTTCAAAAGTTTAGCAATTGGAATGAGAGCTTTCCTGAGGTTTTGGCATGAAAAAGAGCAAAAAGACAAGATGGCTGCCATGTTGAATAAAAGAACCATTCATTACCAAGAAGGAAAGAGGGAGAGAGAGCAATCTCCCCTTTGAAAATCACCAGGCTGAATCCAGAAAAACCAAAGGCTGTAATTAGACAGAGCCATTACAGCCTCACTTTGAATGCTGTGTGTGAGTAAGTGAGAGAGGATGTGAGTCAGAGCATGCCCACAGATAAATGTTGAGATTTATGCAGGCGGGTGACTGAAGTTAAAAAAGTGTCTGTGTTTTTGTCCTTACACTGTACACTTCTCACCTACATGTCACATATAAGAAATGCTGCATCTGTCTTTTGTAACACTATACGTGCACGAGGACTTGCACATGCACACACAGGTTGGGTGCCACACTTCGAGGAATGACGCTGAAAGCCACCAGACAATTTTGCTAAAGGACAGGCGGAGGATGGAACTGGAACGAACACACGCACACAGGAATGGGAGGTTTGACAGCTGGATTTCATCAAGAAAAGTGGATTCAGTGAAAGTGGCTGTGTCAAGGCATTGTGTCAGATATGTGACAGACAAAGAACAGAGAAACATTTCCTATTCTACTGTTCAGAAACGACGACGGTTTCTGTCATTACTGCAGTACTGAGCGGCACATCACCAGTTTCTGTGCTTCCATGCCTTTTTAACTGGCTAGTGTTGCATGCATTAATCACATTTTGCAGTGCAGGCTACTTGGCAGTGAAATTATTTGTTATTGTTGTTTAAAGTCCTTATGAGAGCATCCCATTTACCAAATATATTCCAGCTATTTATTTTTGAACAAAGAGCTAACATTTGTGAATTGTACGCACTTGTACCGACCATTATGTGGCTATAACAGCAAAAATCTCTAGTGTTTCCTTACAGCAAGGGCATGTTTTATGCTATGTAAACAACTTTCATTTTTAAAGGGAAGCACACATAGAAGCAAAGAAATGTAAACACTGTTAACATATTTCTCCAAGCCATTTTTTGCATTTATGATTTTATATTACACCAATCTGCAAACGTGCATATGGTTTTTTTCTTTAACTTCATCATTTTGTGTAACTTTATTTGACAAAACTACATTTTACATGTGTAGATTTGCCATAAATAAACCTACAGTGTATAAACCATATTTCAAAATGCCTTCCTTAAATCTGCCTGCAGCCAGCTGCTCATGTAGTCGTCTACACACATATGTGTGCCCGTGCAGAGCCAATCGGAAAACCCAGCATTTTTCTATTCTGTTCCCACTTGCACTTTTGGGCTTTCTTTGTGCACTTTACTTGCTGTACAAGCTCACCCACACAGTGCAGCTCTTGATGCAGTGTGAGGAGATTTACAGCCTTTGTTTTTGTATTTGGAAAGGACATTTCATTTTAGCAGAATAGAGTAGCCCAAATAAACAAAGGTTACATAAAAATCCAATCTAATCACAACACAAGCAGCACGCTCCGCTGGCAGCCCTAAACACAAAGCAGCAGGATGGCTGGTAGAGCACAGAGTTCATATGGGCTCTCAAACTTCTTTGGCCTCTTCTCATTATCAAGACCAAAAGAGAAACAGCAGAGCAGTGGTGAGGCCAACATTTCCCCTCATAACGAAAAAACAAATACACAATATAGTAAATGTTCAGCTTGTTTTGCCTACTGAGGCCAGTGGCTTGGCTCCAATACTTTATATCACAGTGGTTGCTTATTCCCCTAAGTGAGACCCTGGGGATCTGAGTCAGGTACTGATACTTTGTAGGTACATCCAGTTTACCCTCGTGCCTCTTGCTGCAGCAAGAAATAAAATCAGCTGGGATCTAAAGGTTCTATATGGATTCCTTTTGTTATTGAATTGACCTCAAATGTGCTGACATTTCTACTGAGCAGCCTTAAATTATGTGCTCTCTTTTGTGTGCTTTCTGATTTTTTGCCTTATGAGCTATGTAACTGACTGATAAAGTGGCTACATTTGCAAGTAACTTACAGTAAATACTTAAAATGATAAGATCTGTAAACAGCACTTGTTGATCTACTCTACTTGTTCCAAACAGTAAAGTAACTTTATCTAGAGAAGAATCACCTCTTAGCTGCTTAAGAGTGATGTTTCTTTACCCTCACAAACAATCTTTGGTTGAATACAGACCCCAGTTTGCAGAGAACACAAGATTTATTTTAGCTGTTCCAGAATAGTGGCAGCTGACAATATTTGTTATGTTAACTGGCAAAAGCAACTGTCAGTGATGGCTAAAATGACAAGCTACCTACTCTTTTCTACATGGTTCTAATCAAGAGCAAGTAGAGAGAAAGAGTTAGAAAAGGAATTCCTTAGTATCAGGTTTAAACAAATCCAGGTATCTAACCGACTGGGAGGTGCATCCAAAACAGAAGTGGCTGTGCCAAATCAACCCTAGCCCCAGACAGAGAGGTAAGTTTCAGTACTTACCTGTACACCATCTGATAATGTCCTCATAAATATAAAACTTACCTCTTTAGCCTGGCTTTTGATCAGAATACTTTACAGCCATTATTTATTCTGTTTATCCATTTATTACATTTCACTTCCTCATATATCTTATTTGCCATCGTCTTCTCATTGCCTCATGAGCATTGGCCTTAAATAGTTTTAACTGTTCACATTCATTCTGTCTTATCAGCGTCAGTCGTCTGTCATCATTTTGAATTTTGTGAAACTGTACAAAACATGCTATACAAATAAAACTGATTCAAATTCTTTTACAGACCACCTTTTGTTTGACCTTCATTATCAAAAAGGACAGGTGGAGCCCCAGTCATGTACACCGAAGCACTGATGTATTAACAAACTCTGTTCCCATATTTTCACATGGAATCCATCAGCTACTTCACTCAGCAATATAGCATCAAATTAGGCCAAAACTTTAATTGGCCTCCTGGGAACGTAACTTTGTGACACAGCGAGGGAGAGATAGGCCACTCTCCAACATTTTTTTAAACATGGCCTCTCTTTGTTCTTTACTGGTGACAAAAACAGATGGGCTTGGGTCCAATACTTTCCCATTACCGCCGGTCCATTATTAAATAAAAAGGCCAAAACCCTCCCATTCATAATACTGTCAGGTTCAATTCACACTATCCTCATGACCTTGCTTTATTTCCAATGCCACTATAGCGACCAGCAGCATATTTATGTATTTGTACCAGCAGAACCTCTGCAATCCGAAAAATAAAGTGAAGGAAGGATGTAAAGATATATTGTTCATATCAATTAAAAATAACCCATAGGTTTTCTCTCCTACCTTCATGACAATGAAGATGACCAGAGTGACGAAGACGTTGACCTCCGGGTGTTTCCAGGCTTGAGAGTGTCCGATGTAGTCAAACTCCTCAGCGATGCCCTGCTTGGCCCATGTCCGGTTGTCCAGTAATGTCACCAGAGACTCTGCCTGGGTGAGCTACAGGTCAAAGGAAGTGACATTATGAAGAACAGCAGCAGGGCTGGGCAGTAGTTTTGTAGCACGTGTTCCTTTATCCCTTACTTTCAAATTAATGTTATTTGACTTAGCTGATTTTTTTTGCAGTTGAACCTGATGATTATTATTTGAAATTCAAATGCAAATGTGTCTGCTGCCTATCCAGGACACTTTCGGCAAATACAGTGTGTACTGTTCTCTGTTGTTCGGTGCTTATGCGTTCATTATTCTTTCTCAGACACATCATCTATCATCAGGTTCTGATATGAAAACACTGATACGACTTGATGTAGGATGTTCACCTTTCTTTTGACTTTAAATTGCCTCAAAACTTGCTGTGCATCTGACTCAATTTGTAAAAGTAAATTCTACTACATAAGTATACAGCGTGTCAGCATGGATAGATGCATTGATAGTGTTATGTTAGTGAAGAGTTAAGATAGTAGTGAGGGAGTGAACAGTGAAAACTTCATCTGCATCATGGTTCAGCTTTAAAGCCAGACTAGTGTAGACACTGGTGGTGATAACGTCACCCACTGCCAAAGAAATGATGGCCTGGGGGCATGAGAGCAAGGTGGGAGGATGTGAGACAGAGAATTTTTAGTTGCTTTTTGTAGAAAAGCTTTAAGAGGAGTGGGTCAGTGTAGGCAGGTTCAGGGCTTGAGAGGTCTGACTCACCCTCTCACTGAGAGCCAGGACTTGGGGAACAGTATACATACTGTATATGTGTGTGCACCTAGGGCCTCAGCATGCACACAGTATTCCTGTTCTAATTCTGACAATTAGACAGATGAAGGGGTTGAAAGTGGGGAGAAGTCACGCGCAAGCTTATGAGTCATCAGTGGAGCAGAAGGACAGGTCTCCAGCACACATACGCCAACAACACTCAACACATTTTAAGCTGTGTTGTGTAGTTGTGTTAAAAACAAACAGGTTTACATAAGTGGCAATTGGGATACTATAAACAATCATGTAAAATGGTTCAATTAGACAGGGGCTCAGTGTACAGCTGCTCAGAGACAAAAACACACAAAAATATTTAACAATACACAGAGGTTACTGTTTTGACAATAATTTGTAGCAAACTATGTCAAAACAATAAAAGGGTCAGACAAGTTGACTCATTTCATATGTTAGAAATGATGTTGCATCTTAGTGTGAAATGCATCTAGTGTACATTTCTTCTCGGTGTAGTTTTGATTTTCTCGGTTACAAAGTGAGTTCTCAAACAGTGATTAAAATCCTCAGTCTAACTTGACTAAACTCGCTGATGCTGTGCACGTGTCAACAAGCTGCACACTCAACCAAGGGGTTTCTTCTAAAACTTCTGCATGTAACACACTTTGAAAAGATAACCATGACTCTTAGAGATTTTGGTGGGGAGCTAACACAAACTGTACACGATGCCACATGCTTTCATTCACTGCCATTGCAATAGCTGCAGTGCACTGTGTACTGTATAATATAAATAAAACTGTATATATTGAATTTGGGTGGGGAACCTACCTTTCCAGCCATAAACTGCCCAAAGCCAGGGGGAAACGTTAGCGTGGAGATCAGTAAAGTGACCAGTGCTGGATACAGCAGACGTCTAGCAGAGAACAGAGAGGGCAGACAGAGAGAGTAATAAAGACAAAAACCCAAAACACAATCAGTATCAGATGCATTTACATGAGCCCACTGGCAGAGACTTTAATCATTATAGCCCAGTGTAAAATACTGCAGGCTCAGGTAGGACATTAAATCTACCCGAGCATTCTTGTTAACCCTGATCGCAGTGTGTAAATGAGTGAGTTAGCGCTCCAGTCATTAAAGCTTGAATTATTAATGTCAGTGCAACAAGGTTTCAGCCTAATGGAAAAACAGTGGTGTTAATGTCACACCAGTGTGTTTTGAGTATGTTTATTTACTAATGGAGCCTCAATTTATATATCTTGACTTATATTTGATAGACTGAGTAAAAATTCACTCACTGCAATGCCATAGTAACAGTTACAGTAAAATAACAGGCCATCGATGTGTTGTGTAGCTTTGTAAGTGCAGGTGTGTGCAAATAGATTCTTAATTATGAATGAGGGTTGACTGAACAACCTCCATTCACCTTAGCTCGTCAGTAATCATAATTTCCAAAGCTAACATGCTGAATGTGTTACAATGCAGCGTGATATGTGGAAGCAAACAGAGGCAATTAAAAGACAGAATAAAATCAGATTTGCTCTGGGCTCTGAAGTTTGAGCAAAGACTTGTTAACCCTTCTTAACCCTAAAGACTCCTTTATTGGATTTGAACCTTTTTGTCAGTCAAAAGCTTGGTCCTCATGCAGAGAAAACACAAACTAAAAATACCATGTTGATATTACAGTCAACTTAATGTCGCTGGGGCTACAACTACAGTAATGATTTGCATTTTTTATTCTTCTACATAATATTTTTATTGTCACTATAGTCTAGAAATGTCAAAATTAGTGAAGAAATGTCCTCATGTGTCTTGTTTTGTCCAGTACATAAAGATATTCAAAGACCTTTTGAGTAGCTGAAGCACAGAATATTAGATTTTCAAGCAAAAATAGTGAAAAAGGCCGATAAGGTAGTTCCCAATTATTTTTATTTCAGTCAATTAATCAGCTGTTTGTGTCAGTTCCAGTTTTTACCTAAAGCTATTCACTATCTTAAAAATGCTGAGGACAGACTCAACTATCCCTGACATTATTTCTGAAAATACAGCGTAGTCGGCCTCGTTACGTAGGTCACAGTGCGTCAGACTCACTTTTTCATGAGGAATTTGTTGATGGCCTTCTGTTTCCTCATGAACTGGACAATAAGTCGGTTCAGGTAGACAAACAAAGCCCCACCAAAACCACTGGCAATACTGCAGAGAGAGAGAGAGAGAGAGACATCACACACACCTCAGAAAGAGAAGACAGAGGTTTCTGAGAAAGTTTTTAATTTGACTAAAATGCAACATGGGAGACTGGAAAGAAAACACTGTGTGAAAACCCCATAAGATCATTTTCCTCTCTCAAACCACCAACAAAAACCAGTGTAAGTAGAATGGGTTTCCAGTGGATATCAGTGACGCAGCTGATACAAGCCACATACAGTTTGAGACAAATACAAATGCTCAGAGACAATGTATACAAGCCTGATGGAAAGAAGTGGGGACCAAGGAAGTGTTAGGAAAAAAGACAAGTCAAAAAAGATGTAGGAGGGACAAGCTGTAAATACAGCGGATGAAAAAAGAAAAACAAAAACATACATAGAAACATATTAGAGATTTAAAAAAATATCAAACTAACAGGGAATCACTGTACAGCTAAGAGAGAGAGTGAACATTCAGAGAGGAATGTGTGGGACTTGGAGACGAGGCATAAAAAGAGGTTTACATAAGCACGTCTTTAAAAGCTCAGTGGGAGGCCTCTTATGGCAGTAAGAGGGAGACAAAGAGGAAAGGTAGGCAGAGAACGAATAGACTCAGACAACCTAATGCTTATAAATTTGTATTGCTGCATTATTAATTCTGTCAAATACCTCTGAATTAATAATGAACAGGATGATGAGGGTGTCTTTGTTCTCATGGGGCAGCTCTGGAAAACACAGCATGTGTGGCTTTTTGTCCTTTGTAGATGTACTCTTAAAAGAACCAAATGTTCTCTGCGTTTGGAAGAGCCCAGGGTTAAGATTTGAGGTTGGTGTAAAGATTAGAAAGAGCGTTAGGTTAGTGTTTGAGGTGTCTCTGTTAGACTGGTGCTGAGAAAATGAATAGCAGGATGTTGTACGATAAACCAGGTGAAAATAAATAATGAAAAATGACAATCGTAGTTTCTCTGAGCCCACAGTGATGTATTCAATCAAGTAGCACCAAAATAAAACAGAGAAAAAAGTGTCAAAGTAACAAATTTGAGAGGCTGGAAAAAGAGAGTGCTCTTTCCTTAAAATGAACACACGTTCACTGTAGTCATTTTCTGCTATAAATACCGGCTGCCCAGCCGTACTGCGTACCAAAATCAGACTGACACATGTTAGCACTGGTCGTTTCCCTGGATTTGTTGGCAGTAACAAAAAGAATATTATCCTTGAAGGTGCTTTGTGGAGATGTGAACACTAGTGGTTCTATGGAGCCGTTTAACCCTAACATGTTTAAAAAGATTTATGAGGTGATTGGGGGTGCACTGCAACATGTTTATCAGGCCTCAAGAATATTAGCATAAGAGGGAACTTTTAAAACACACAAGTTACTCCGGCTGCGACTCAGGAGGTAGAGCTTGTCGTCCCTCCACCCGTAGGGTTGGTGGTTTGATCCCTTCTCTAGTTCTCATGTTGAAGCGTCCTGAAGGCACCGAAGCTGCTCCCAGTGATGTCACCAGTGTGTGAGTGAATGAATGTGTGTGCGCAGGTGGGTGAATGTGTAGAAAAGGGCTATACAAGTTTTAAGATCATTTGTAACCATAACAAAATACAGTTTAATGAAACTATTGTAAAACTACATAACAAGGGCGTCAGGTGATATTACTGTTTGATGTTTATCTAATTGTAATGACACAAAGTATATTCCCACTTATCTGTATATAAACACCTGACTGCATGCGTTTGCACGTGTGTGTGTTTCTGTGGGCAGAAATGTCGTCGATTTTTCAGCGTGTCCCAGTGATTCTAACTTCTAAAGCCTGAAGGTGTATAAACAGCAAGTCGAGTGGTGAGTGAAGCTTTAAAGATGTGCCCTTGGCAGCAGGTAGCACAGAACTACCTCTTTCTGGCCTAGATGACTGAGACACTGACTGACTTTGCCCATTGGCAGCTATTAGCAGGGGGAGATAGAAACTACAGGGGTGCACCGGGACACTGCCTCACATACACACAGACTTGTCAGTTCAAATGTACAGTCGCTGTGTAAAACTGGGGTGAAACACTCTGTTGTCTTCTCTGGAGACAGTGTTGTGTACTGAATGTGCAAGACACTGATGCTCCCAGTGGCTCTTAACACTATCAGACAAAAAATATCAGCATAAAGATGAAGATAAAGAAAAAGAAGACAGGGATTTTCGTCTCTTGGGGAGTCTATGCACACAGGCATGCGCTTTCATCACAGAGAGAAGTTGGAGAGGGAGGCGGAGACAGCAGCCCCCTCCCATCTCTCCACCAGCGTCCTTCTAGGAGCCTGTGGTCTCATTCACAGCTGTGAAGAAGCCCTCGGGCTAAGGCAGGATAAAAATAAGGCATCCCTCAGTGCGTCAGCAACTGTTGCAGGCTGAATTATCCAATGTTAGGAGCCTCACGCAGGCTACCCTGAGGTAACACCTTCATCGAGCTACAGTGAGTGAAGGTCCTGAATAATAAGTGAATTTATGCTGCAGTCACAGTAAATGGGAATACCTGCCAGAACAACCAGATGGGTGGAAACAATGACTCAGTGTTGAATTTATTTATTTCTCTGGACTTCTGAGGTTTATTCATTTTGAACTGATGTTAGAAAGCCTTACAGATTATTTATGAGCAATAAAAGCTCAATGATTGGGCTGCCAGGTTGTAGAAAAGCCTTTGGGCTGCTGTTTAACCACCTCCTTCACAATCAGTGGTTTTGATTTAATTTCTTTTATCTGGTTTTGAAACTAACTAACTAATATTTCCAACCTGTGACCATATGTATTTATTTAGTCAGAGATTCAACAACTTCATACCTCCATTCAAAGCTTACCCAATGACGGCGAAGGCAGGAAGCTCCTGGAGGTCAAATGGAAAGTCTAGCCGGAAACGGGTTTTAAACAGGGCTGTGATGTTTTCTGCATGAATAAATAAATAAATAAATAAATAAATGGGACATTAGGAAACTGAGCAAACCAATTAACAAACTCATGCAACAAAAAACAAGACTCTTGCAATCGGATGTAGTGCACTGTACAGGTGTTATAGCATTTCAAGTTCTGTCCTTAATGGAAGGTGCCACACGAGAAGTAAACAAAAAGTTCAGCTCATTGTGGAGATGCTGCCCAGAACTCATGACATAGCCTGACCACAGTGTTGTAAACAGAGGGTTGGAGAAAGTCTTGGGTTAACGAGGCACTGGAAATCCTCAGGATGCCGTGTGACTGATCGTGAGGTGGAACATCTGCTTCTGGAAACAGTAGTTCGGCCTTAGCCTCCACCCTCACTCATCAATACATAACTGTACAACAATGGACACGGTTGCTTTGGCCTTTGCTGATCAATAGTCCATTTGCACAGCAGAAATGCTGACATGAAACAAAAAGAAAAGCCCAGGCGTAGTAATAACATCAGTGTTGTTCAGAGCCATTTCACTGTTCCAGGTCCAGAGCCCTGCTATTTGAATACTGGCTGGCTGTCACAGCTTGCTGGCACATTCAAAAGGAACGGAGCCAATGTTAATGTTCATGCCTGTGCACTCTCTGCTACGGAAGGTCAGAATATCTTTTTTTTGTTATTATTATTTGGTTTTAATTTTCCATGCGATTTTGACAAGATAGATGTGGCTGCACAACAAGAGCACATCTGTCAAATTTATTTGATGTGCATGCACTTGCAGTATGTCCATCATTAACATTTGTAGGTCTCACTCATTTAGCATCACAAAGGTTTCAACTTTAGCTTAAAACTCTTATTAGATGTATGTGACCTACTAGTAATATTCTAAACCCAGTTGTCAAAAGCAGGGAGGTAGAAAGTAACTAAATACATTTACTCAAATACTGTACTTAAGTACAGTTTTGACATAGTGTCTGTACTTTACTTGAGTATTTTCATTTTCTGCTACATCAGTTTCACTACATTTTAGATGCAAATAATGTACTTTGTACTCCACTACATTTATTTAATAACTCTTTACCTTTCAGAATATATATACAGCATATAAGACTTCCTGATACCTGGTGGGAAATTCACAAGCTACCCAGCTGTACTTCAAATTACTAGCTCCACCTTTACAAGCTGCAATATTAAATGTGATGTACACAATAATATATGCAACAATGTGAAATGTGCTGTTCTGCATAATGAGTACTTTTAGTTTTGGTACTCTGAATACAGTACATCTTGATGCTAATACTGTTGTACTTAAATTCTGAATGCAGAACCTTTACTTGTAACAGAGTATTTTTACAATGTGGTACTGTTACTTTTACTTAAGTAAAGAATCTGAGTACTTCTTCCACCACTTACAGGGAGCATAATGTTGCCATAGAAGGAGTGAGTTGCACAGTGGGCTGCAACTTTAGGACAACAACTCTTGAAATGCTAAGTAGACTAAATTAGCTATGACTGAATCATCTGTAGTACAGTATATAGAACCACCTTACCTTCATCTTTGTTCCAAACAGCCAGTACTCTGAAGATGAAGGCACTGAAGGTAGCAGCAAAGAAACCTCTCCAATAGTTCCTCACCGCAAAGAATGTGGATGTTACTTCAATACTGAACAACACTCCTGGAACAAACACACACAATTTGTCATAGTGTGGCCATTAAATACTGTAGTGCACAGACTGGGTCATACATAATTAACAGTCAGTACAAAACTAAAACCTTAATTTAACTCAATGTTTAGGAGCTGCAGAGCTTGTTTATTAATTAAGGAATCAACGGTATATGACTGTCATGATGAACACATTAAATGCACTGATTTATTACTTTAGGGGATTTATTACTTTCCTGAAATCTGTAAGTAGTCAGGCAGTGTGTTGTGTTTTGGAGTGAAATCAGAATGAAAGTGTGGGATTTGTTCAGTTGGCTACTTTCAAAACTGCAGGTTTTTCCAGGAATGCTAATGATACCTCTCACTAGACAATGCACCTGAGACATAAATGACTACAGAAGTACAGATCTGTTTGCAGCAAACTGTCATTTATTCAACATCATGTTGTGAAATCTGTACTAGCATGTACCATGATTAAATAGGACATGAGAGGTTATTAGGTCTACACAAAGAGATACAGCCTTCACTGAAAGATCCATCTCTGTAGAGTCAGGGACATAAAGCTCACTGTTTTATATTTTATGCACTGCAGCTAATAATATAGTGTGTACACCTCTTGTTTATTACAGTACAGTATGTGATGCACTTCTGATGGAAAATCTATTCTTTTTCCTGGAGACTCACCTCCTATGGGAGCAGCAAAACAGCAGCCCACTCCCACAGCACAGGCTGCTGCCAGCATCTCAGTGTTCCTAGACTCATTCTGAAACGCACACACACACACACACACACATATATACCTGTATAAATATAGATGCCATTACATATCAGTCAGCCTTTGATTCATTGAGCCATAAAGGAGAATGATACTGAAGCTTTCAACTGATGAGTTGCAGTAAGACAGACAGGAAAGGAAGACATGAAAAGACTAAGCTGCAGGACTGCAGAGGAGAGGATCATGGTGCATCACGGGAAGTGGAGGGTTTGTTTTTGACATGCCTGATCTTACTTACAGTACCTTCATTCCTATGAGACTGGCTTCCTTCACGCAGCATGGTAGTGATAAATAGAGGTTAGTGTGTCCGCTTCCCTTTGACAAACTTAGTGTGAGACTCAAATTAGCATCACAGGGTGTTACAAAATGAAGAAAGCTCAAGAAACATTTTGCAAATACAGCTTACTCTGCAAAACATGTCAATCAAGAATGAATATTTTCAAACGAACTACATCCAAGAACTTTGTTGACATTTCTGTGACTAGAATATTTTATTCTGATACTCACTGTTGTCTAGAAACATAACAATAAAACCATCTGGTCATGTGGGATTTGTTTTTACTACAGCAATCTTCATCAGTGGTCCTCCCGTGTGCTGGTCATTATAAACCCATGCTGTCCAGAGAAACATTTGGCTTCATGCAATAACATTATAATCCAAACTTATCTTAATGTTTGTCTGTTGGGTTTGCTTGTAAGTGTCCCATCTTTTTTAAAATAGTTGTAAACTTAATACTTCAACACAAATAGATTCACAAAATGTCATCCATAAGAACACAGCAGAGTTTTAAGTCATGTTATTCAAAATCAGTAGATGAACATAGAATAAATTTAGTGTCAGTAGTAAAAATAGGGAACCCAAAAAAAAAAAAAAAAAAAAAAATGCTGGTGCTAAAGCAACATGATCCTTATCAAAAAGGTGGGCAAGAAACAAAATACAAAATACATCTATTCCATTTTTACTCCAGTTATTTTTAAACCAAATTCATTCAGGTTATTATAATTCCTACATCAAACCAGGGTTTTCTGTCTACAGAGAAATGCATGAATAGGACTTGTGAATTTGTTTGTGCCTAAAAACAAGAAAAGTGCTGAATGCCACGAGTGCTCTTACTGTGAATCACACATACAGTATGTGCCACCGTTCATACTACAGTAGCGCTGTAGTGCAAAGACAGCAATTACTGTATGTCAGCCTGCATTTTTGGGGAAAGGCATCTACAACATCTTCATTTGATGGAACAGGTGGTGCCATAAAAAAAAAAAGATTCTTGGATTTGAATCTTTCACTCCGTGAAGATATTACATCCACTGGCTTCAGCCTAGAGTTAGAACAAGCTGTTGCAATACTATATGTAGACAGTTTAACAGTGTCTGACAAAAGATTCTTTTTTGAAGGGCAAAACTTTATTTAAATCATTAAAAAACATGTGTGCGAGACTGGATACTATTCATCTATAGTTTAAAATGTTTCCAGTGTGAATCCATTTGACAAGAATACAGCAGGGAGTGGAGTACACTGGGAACAGTGCAGCTGAGTTACCTTAATGCCTATAAGGCCGGGCTCCTTCAGGTAGCATGGGAATAAGAAACAAAGTTAAGCTACTAAGGAATATGAATACCGCTATTTTAACTGTTACTACCAACTCGACGTGCATCATTGTAAGGTTTAATAGTGCTGATTTAAAAATCCATTGCATTTTCATTCACTGTTTTATTCCATGTAATTAAAGTCTGCAGTATTTTTGCACCAACATTTAGGCTCATTCAAGTGACATTCATAAATCTGATAAAAAGCATTCTTTTCAAATACTGTGTATTGGATCCAGTGCTTTTCAAATAATGGCATTCTCCGTGTGTGTGTGTGTGTGTGTGTGTGTGTGTGTGTAGAGCACTCAGCCCTCTTAAATAATAATAATAATAAAAAAAGCACAGCACACCATGTAAAAGCACCTTGAAACAAGAAACTGGCTTTTACAGCCCACAGGCTACATTAGCATACTGTACTTCAAACTGAAGAGGATGAGATACTGCTGCAAAGGGACACTTCACATAAGCACACACACACACACACATACACACACTCAGCATTAATATGCCATAAAATGCAGCACAACTCTCCAGAGGGAGGAGACAGTGAGAATGAGTAAAGCAGAGTTCCTGGGAGACGGTGAGAATGACGGCGATGATTACAGGTAGGCAGATAAAAAGAAAGACGGGCAGGTGGAAAAATTTAAATCTTACAAGCTAAGAGGGAGTAATGCAGGAGATGGAGGGATGTAAAAGAACACCTGTCACAACATTTAGGGAATATAATGCCATTCATCATTTTCAATAGGGAGATGACAATAAACTCTGGCACCTACAGAGAAGCAGATTTAATTCTCCCACCTCAGGCTGAAGTAAAATCAAGCGTCCATATGCATGTGCATCAGATTCTTGCATGTTTAGGGCTTTTCAAGTAATCTTTTTGCCTCACTGGAATTTCTTACTTTTCCACTAAAGCAGTCATTTTAAAGGCCTTAATCATTTTAGCTTTTCCTCCATCCTCCGGGCAGACACTGTGATAAACACATCCAGCGAGGGGAGAAATGAGTTTCAGACTGTTACAGCGGCCACTGTACAGTAACAGTCTGTTTCAAACTAATCAGAAACCAAGAGATTTTCTATTTCTAACTCACAGTTTTGCAATTTATCTATAATTTTGCTGATCTATTCCATATTTGTCCATTAGTCAACGAGATGAATGCTGGTAAGTAAAGCTGATTTCTTCCTAAGCTTTGCTTATGCTGCAGTACTGAAGATAACTCACATGTTGAGAAAT